AATAGCGAGAGGACAAGCCGGGCGCAGTTAATTCAACAACCCCTTTAGGGTCATTGATCCTGGTTTCGAACACATAATATATGTCACTACACAGTGTGTGCAACGTACGTGCGAGCGCAGCCTGTTGACCTATTTGTCTTAGAGCGCGAACGTTGAACGCCGCCAGGAAAACGAAACAGCATAGACTTATAAGGGACTGTTGGCGATAGGTGTCCGATAGGCGTTGTGGGAAGATGGTTGCAGATGGTTCGACTTCAGTGGCACTTCGGCTACTGTCAATTAAGCTGGGAATTATAGAAGGAAAGTTAGTAATGGGGGTATGGATGGAAGTAAGAGAAACATTTGGAAAAGAAAGAAGGGAGGCGTCAGCAGTAGCATATGTCCGCTTATGTGACTTGCTGTATGCAGCAAATAAGGCGGCCGTTGATACTCTGCGCGACAGCCGATGCAGAATGTAGTTAACGTTTGAGGAGATTGTCATGGTTGTATGTGGGGTGATATACTGCCAGGGCCCCCGGACCTAGAGAGGAGGACGGTTAGGGTCATCAACCGAAGCCTTCGGCTCAAAAGTCCGTCCGCAAGGCAGCGAGGTGGCAATGATTTGGTTTTACAGAAATGGACGCCATCCCATTTCAAGCCCCCAACCTGGAGGACCAGGAGATTGAGTTTGTCTGACGTCTGACCATCGACCAATCTGGTAGGAGGAGCATCACCCAGTAGCATCACCCAGTATATAGACCACGTTAAGGTCTAGCCTCGTTGCGACGGAGACGCAAGTTATAGCAACTGAATCCATCGCATTCCGGTGCGTGAACCACAATCATTGTTAACCAAACTGAAAGGAACAGATGGAGTTCATCGTCCCGTCGGGGCAACCAATGCAGCATGACTAACAAATATGTGAAAGACGATACACGCAAGATAGGTTGGTCTTACTTCGTTGATGGACAAGAAACTCTACGTACTCGGTGTAAAATAAGTTCTTTTAACAGCATAGATTGTAGATCCCGTTATATCTTCTAGATGACTATTGACCGGCTTCCCCCGCGCACATTATATGTTGTCGCTGCACCAAAGTGGATGAAATTGCGAGGTAGCCAGTCGATGAGGTGGCATAAAAGAATGAAGAACCTGACTAAGAAAGTTGGTCAGGCTGAAGCGCATCGTTTCTGTGGACCGGCTCACGGGGATGATCCACACCAACGGTTGGAAACACTTCCACGCATTGAGCAGTGACGCAACCAGTGGAGTTCATGCATTCGGTTTCTTGAATCTAGCCGTTAATTTTCCGTGCCGATTAGTTTTGTGCCATTCTGTTCTGAATCCATTTTCTTGTACTTTATTTCCGTTCAACCGCACTTTATTACCGTTTATTATTTTTATTATTATCATTATTATTATTATGCTGGCGATGTAAGCCGTTGCAAACGGATCCACCACGTTTTAATGCTCAGATCATAGTTGTTCAACCGAACTGAACCGTATCTCATTGTCCTCAAGGTAGCCATAACGTTCGCAAATGGGAGCGTCATGAAAATACTCTTCTCGGCCACTGTAAAAATCTCCCCCGACACACTCGCGATCAAGCCTCCTAGGCAAACTTTTTCAGAAGTGACAGTCAACAGACTTACCTTTTCTTCAGACTGATGTAGATTATTCTTGCACAGTTAACTAAAGATGAACACGCGGCACACTTGCGCCGCACATGAGTGCAGGTATCGCCTAGGCAGAATATATTTTCCATATTTTCCTCTTAATGATTCCAGCACATATTCGACCGGTTGACTGATTGCGACAAAAACAGGTTTATGATGTCTGCCGAGAGCAGATGCGTATCGCTGACCTCGTTTTGTCATTTTCTAGAAGCTACAGAAGCATTAACAATGGCCAAAATTTAAATTCTCTAGGAGAAATGACAATTAGTTTACAAGGATACTTAATGCGAGTGAGTAAGATCAAGGGTCCATAATGCGTCTTTCTACGACGGCGACCTAACGTGATGACATGGTGCGAGAGAGTCATGTCTGAAAAATAACTGCACTTGCACAATTTCAAGCATTTCGTCATTTTGGCGCTGTCGAAAACTGTGATAGGGGTAAACGAGAAGCCAAACATCACGGTCACTAGAAATTCATAATGTGCATCAGCTAAGTTATTTATACTCAAGTAAAAATGGTCCAGTAAAATGTCTGTGGAGCTAGTGGAATAGCCAGAAAAATTTTCAAGCTGTGCTTCTTAGGCAGATAAGCTTACTTTATTAACTGCAATAGTGTAAGCCATTCAGAGAAGAGGTCTTCTGAACAAGGACCATAAACGGGTTCAGCGCAATGAAACCACTTTGATCAACGCACGGAAGTGAGATGGATCTAGCTATCCAGACTTCTATCGCAAGGATAAAAATAACAAAGATGCAAAATTGGACAGAAAGTGAACGAAACACAAGGGAAAGAGAAGTAAAAGAGAAGCGATCCTTTGATCGAGTGTGGTCGGGGTTCGAATCGCAGGCTGCCAAAAAAGCTCCCATTAAGCCATGAGAGTGACGATCAGATTTACATCATCATCATCATCAGCATCATCATCATCATCATCATCATTAGCACCATTATCATCAGACAAGTTGGCTAGAGGTAAAAACGCACCTCAGCTACTGTGCCGCAATATATACGAAAAGAAAAAATCTTACAAGAGGTGCACGCCAGCTGAGCTACCGGTAACGGATGGGCATCGTTCCGGTAAGCCTCCAGCCGAATACTAGGCAGCAAAAACAAGTTTATTAAGCGAAAATCGCATTTTGATAAGAAATGAGATAGCAACCAGAGGGGGAGGCTAAGAGGGATGGGGATGGACGAAGAAGCCCACAACACAAACACCAATGAGGTCGGCTCCCAGCCACGTCAGCAAGTGTATTTAGCCAAAGGTGTTCATGGTTTTTCAGACGCCAAGCAGGAAGCCGAGAGGCTCCAACCGAAACCAACGTCGAAGCAAGGGCCTTCGTTGCTCTCGACCGTCATCGCTTGGCCACCTCTCTTCCTCTTCCATCCACACCCCCTGGCGTGCAAACAACGCAGGTCGCGGGAGTCGGTGGGCTGGCGTGCGCAACATGTTTCCGAGCCATCGGAGCCTGGTGTGTGAAATAACGGCGCTGAACGGTTCATTTCCTTTTGCTATGCCATCAGATGTACAGTTGCACAGGAATAGGTGTAGCGGACATTTTTTGGTTTAGTGGTGGAACAAGGTAGTTAAATAATTATAATTAGTGGAATGTGAGTTAAGACACTATGACACGCGTCGCCACAAGAAGAATCGATGACAATGGTAGAGGAAATGAGGAAGGAGCATGCAAGGAAGGGTAGGATGTGTAAAATAGGGAAAAGCGTTCTGTTGCTGTCAGGTGGGATGGTTAACTGGCACATTGAATACTGAGGATAGATAGCTAGAAGACATGTATACGCGTTGCTCCGCTGATATATATTATCGGTCACGCACGCGGATTGACGATATTTATTACCGCGCACTGTCAACGCAGTTCGGATATGTGACGTTCTATTATTCAAGTGCGATGTGTTCTCTAAGTTTGTAATCCACAAAGTGAGCGGCTAGAAATTTCTTGAATGCAGACAACAATTTCCCCTCGACAATTTTCTCGGGCAGACTGTTCCATTATTTCAATACTCGACGCTCGAAGCATAGAGGGTGAGCAATCCGCTTTAGATCCGGTACGCTAACCTTGTACCGGTGTGTTCGCGAGTGCGGATTGATTCGCGCACGTGTAGAAGTGGCCTCTGCATAGGGAATACATCCAGTGTTATTATGAGGTCCACTGGAAACCGCCAATATCATAGTGTGTACAGGTCTAGTCTCCTGCATCAGTCTCCGTATGACATACCGCAAAGTAGGGATGAGTCTGGTAGCCACATGCTCAGTCTTTGCACCCAGTCTTTGCCCAGTCTTTGCACCTCGCCAGGTAAGTGATCCGTACTCGAGTATCGGTCTTATGATGAAAGAAAAGAGGCGCGTGGCAATCACTTCAGACCAAGTGCAGAAGCTGTGCTTGAGCGTCCAAAGCATACGCAGTTTGATTCCGTTTAGCTTGTTCACATCGCCCATGGTCTGCATGTGTGTACGCCTAGACCCTTTACGGAAGGTATCGGTTGGCATGCCGAGCGTACGTACACCCATAACCAGCCTATCCAGGCTCACATAGAAAACGACTTGACTGGTTTGGCCGGTAGATCAACATCTGTGGACCACATAAACAGATGGTCAAAATAATGCTGAAGTATGTTGTAGTTGCCATATGTAGGAGATCGATTGCAGAAACTTCACTGAATCAACGACTCAGCCGCGTCGGGTAAAATCCACAACTACTGGTGCAACTGCGCCCATGGCCTCATCCAGGGAGACAGTATGCAACAACCCGTTTTCAAGTTAACTATTCCATACCTTATTCTTGTCAGTTTCAAGCGTAGGTGAAGATAATCCAACTAGTGTAGGCGGTCCAGGACTAAGATACAGCCCAGAAAGACAAGCGCTAAACCCCAGTGGGTGGGCAACCGCATGTGTTGTGGAGCAGAGCAGAAACGGGAACGATGCGAATGGCATTATTTAGACCAGGCGAACAAGTTTGGCGGATCCGGAATCGTATGAACCCAGTTGTGCAAGGTGGAGGCGTAATAGAGCTAAGCTCCCACAGCCTAACAATGTCAAACGGGGCCCAAGTGGGTTCAGATAAGCCAATCATTGAGATAGATAGTCATGCGAGGGAGAGGGCACGCAAGATGACTAGCAGGGGTAAAAGCAATGAACCCAAACTAGTTTTAGAGGAGCACTGTTAGCCGAGACAGGTAAAGTAGTTTCTTATACTCAATGTAAGGTACTGTTTGAGTCCGCTCAACCTCGATGCATTCGTATTTTAAAATGCGTACTGAGGATAGGAAGACAAGTTGACAAGCTGAAAATGCACATCAAACAAGGCATTTTGAAAAGAATGTGCAACTTACCCGGTAGATCGCCTCTACTGTCAAAGTCCCCAGAATCGCACGCAAATGTCCTTCCATGGTTTGCAAGATGGTGTGCTGGATAGCGCTACGGCTTTTGCCTAAAAACTGTTCGCAAGCCAATTGAAGCAGCTTGTCATCCCGCATGATCTTTACTTGAGCGACACCGGTGACTGTGAGGGGCACACCCTCCATGGTCTCCACGTTCTCACACGTAGGGTTCAGTGTCATTACTCCGAGAGAGATTCTGCAGCGGGGATCAAACAGTGTAACCGCTGTGGTGAGTAAATTCAGCCACGTTTAATCGCTTCGTCAGCGACGAAAGACAGCGGAAAAATAAAATGAGGCAGAAGATACACACACACATAAAAGGAACAAAAAAGCGCTCCGAAAAGAACAGAAAAAAGCAATGAGATCAATCGGTAAATCGACAGAAAAACGCTTACTTTTGTACCTGAGTCACACACCACCATGCCCAACCCCATCCGCCGATGATGGTACGTACATGAGCAGAACCAAAACATCCGCCTGTAAAGGAGAAAAGGGGTTAGAAGAGCTGTCTACCCGACAACGCTTGAACGCAACCATTTCCGAGGCATTTAAAAAGGAATAATCATATAATGTGATGACTGTTTCTGATGACAACCTAAGCGTCAAAAAGTGCTTAAACCCCCTGAGATCAGAAAGTTATTCAGTGGATGAGAGAATATAACTGTAGTGGGATGTGGGCCAGAAAGCAAACAGCATTTGCAATTGAGCAGCTTGAGAAAAAGTGTGAGAGTAGAAAGTGCAGTGTACATTTCCGACTCCTTCAATTTCTCTGGAATCTACCAAGTCGTGAAAGGCAGACAACTATGCAGCCACATCAATAAAAATTGATCCCTACCTGGAGCACGACGATAGCCATTCAGAATTATCGTACTATCATGCACAAGTACTCAAGAAAGAAAGATAATACCGTTCAGAAAAATGTCCAAAGCACTTGTAAAACTGATCAAAGGGCGATACTCAACTTTGAACTACTATGGTCGTTGTCGCAACCTCTGACTGGAGTCATTTTACCTGAGACGCTTGAAGATCAATCTCCTTCTTTTCAACAGTATAAATAAACGAGTCGTCACAAAGGGTACCGAACTTGAGGTGCGGGAAACCGCTATATATCCCACTCGTGATAGCGGCTACATGTTACCTTCAAAGACTGTAAGTAATGAAATCCGATCGACTCTCCTCATACTGAGATATGCAAGTCTGTGGAAAAAACTACCACCACTATAGACAAGCGACAGTGTAAATCTTGCCGAATTCCGAACACCTCTAGACTTCCTTCACAAAAGTGAGATCCGATTCCCGATTTGCCTGTCGCAGTGCACTCCATGGGGATAGTCACAGGACGCCTGCGCCTACAGAGGGACCATGGGTGGCTTGCGCTGCACCACCAAAACACCCGAAATCGTGTAACTCCGAAGGAATAAGACCGATGTGTGCAGATGGGAGCCAGGTTTCATCAACGGAGCCAGCCCACACTCCGACATGAGCAACAGCAGCATTCGTGTCTATCTAAATGGGGAATCATGCATACCAGAAGTATACAAGGCGGTGGCTGGGCCGTAACCTACTTTATACTGGATGGAACCGCTGATCTTAGCACTATCACGAGGACCGTGCACTTTGTCTCCCGCAGCAACGAGCAACTGTCTTCTGGAACTAGTAAAATTGAGATAGCGGTTTTCGACAGGTAGGCACCATGTCAACATTCACATCAAGCGCAGCCACACCGGGGATATCAATCAAGAGCCAACACTTAAAATGCAAGAAAATCAACACGCGGGTACAAGTGCAGACCAACTGCAACGATGATGTAGCGCACGGCTCACATCGACCGCATTCTTGTTGGCTTGGGTTAGCAAATGGAATTGCAAGCAGTGTAATCACCAAGCGCTGCACTCATGATGAGTACCTAATCACCCGAATTGTTTTTTGATGTCGGCCCCAAGTGTCCATGCTGGTGGCTTACCAGACCGGATTGGCTGAGGCAATCGTGACTGCATGTGTTACAGCACCAGGTACTAGACGTAAAAATGGGCTTAAATCCATCGGCGCCTGGCGCTTCTATAACCTACGTCGTTTGTTGCAATATTATCTCGTGCAACAGAGCTACCGGATTCTTGGTGTGGGCGTACCATTAGCTTAGGATTAACTACCACTGCCTCCCAACACCCAAAGTAAACATTAATTCGTGAGAAACTCATATTGATCACGCCCTGGTAACGTAGCTCCGGTTCTCCCACTGTTGCAATCTGGTACTAACAGAAGGGGCACATATCGAGGACCCATGTATCGGACCAAATTGGGCTACTGGCCTCAAGTTGGACAACCGTTTCGCGTTATCCCCTGATGCCGAATGCCGCTCTGGCTATGACAGAGTGTTTGTTACGGTGATCGATAGTGGTTGATCGATGATAATGGTGTTTGGGTAGGTTATGACAATCCTAACCCTAACACCCACTTTCCGCATTCCTACACTATGTTGACTATAACGCAGCTGATTCGGTATCCTCGACGAATTCATGCTGCGAATACGTCTCAGTCACCACAAGTGTCGCAGCAGTAATAAACTGTCCACTACATACACTCCACTGCGGTGGAGCACCTCCGCGTCTGCGCAGAATCCGACTCAAGCACTGTCGGTGAGAGAGTTCCAGATATCTGACATCCTTTAGGTACAGCGTCCAGATTTCGCTGCAGTATAGAAGAACGAATAACAACATCGATTGATACGCCATCAGCTTCGTCACAACAATAAGCTGTTGAATCCACCAGACAAGATTTCCCAGCTTTTCAGATGCAGCAGCCGCCATCGATACGCGGATGCGCAGCTCCCTCGTCATCTGCAGGATGGTAGAGAGTACGCTCCCAAGGTAACAAACTCAGGAAGCAGTTTTTGTAACGTCGGGATTGTGATAGGATTGTGCAAGCAAGCGGCAAGCGTGTCGCGTGCGAACAGAGCAGTTGATTGGATGGATACACATATTCCATCTAAGCGCTGATTGGCCCACCGGAGCGGGCTTGTTTAGCAGATTCAAAGGAAAAATTTCATGAGTGCAGCAGTGTCGTTAGCTATGGAAATGACTTAGTTATTTATATCGAGTTTCCTACATGCTCGTCAGGCAGTCATTTGTGCTGAGCTCGCATTTCGGAATAAATCGTTTGTGCTTGAAAAACCGAGTTTTGCGACATGGTGTCAGAGAAAACCAAGCCAAGATCACCCAACGGTGCTCAGTTGCTGCTTGGAGTGCAACCAGCTGTACAACCCCTGGTCCCACTAAAGATGGAAGAACAGAAGTTGGTCGATAACTGGAGAATCTAGAAAAGCATGTGGGTTGATTTCTGCGTACTCGCGCAGCTGAATGAACAACCGATGTCGTATCGATTGGCGATGTTTAGACATACGATCGGAGATGATGCACGCCGCGTCTTGGTAACGATGCCGTACAAAAAGGACGAAGACGCAGCTGATCTGAAAACAGTCGTCCGAAAATGTGGTGATTTCTGCGAGGGCCAGACTAACGAGACGCATCAGTGGTATCTCATTTTTACCCTAAACCGGTGCCCAAACGAAACAATCGAGAACTATATTACGGAGCTGAAGATCCTGACTCCTTCCTGTAAGAGTTGCAATTGATTGGCTAACAGTCTTATCCGAGATAGAATCATGCTAGGGATCAATGATGGAAACATCACCAAGCGGTTGTTGCGGCAAGGGTATTTATCGCTCAGACAATGTCTTGATATACGCCACAGTGAATCATCAGCTGCACACCACATTTAGCAAATGCGGTTGCCGATTGATGCAGAGCTATGTGTCGTAGTCAGTTTACCGGACAAAACTGCGAAGCCTGTTATCAAGACACATGAAACTAGCAAATTCTGTACCGCACGATACCCGAAGGAGCACGAGCAATGTCTGGTGTGGGGCCGAATTTGCGCCAGATGCAGCAGACAGAATCATTGCGCTCGATGTTGTCAGTCTTCGAAAGCGAATGCATTCAATCGTGACACAACGCCCGCCGACTCTGGACTTTCAGTCAGCAACGTGTCGCGGACAGAATCAAAGTGCGTCTATGCAAGTTTATTGGTTGGTGACAAGATGGTGCGTTTCCAGTTGGACTCGGGTGTCACCATAAACACAATTACAAAGAAGCGGCAACCAGAAATTCGTGTGCAACCTGATCAGAGACCTCTGCGCATGTAGGTTTCAAGCTCCAGCCGAAAGGTTCGGCCAAAAAGTGATCAATCCTAAAGACAGCTCTTCACATCAGTTGGATTTCGTGATCGCATTGATTCCATCCAGTGTCTTGGCTTTATTTATTTTAACCATACCCGTTTTGTACATGCATGTGAAGGGGAAACAGATGCTAGTGAACAGTATCCGTCCGTGTTAAACCCAGGTCTGGGGATGTTTGAAGGTTCCGTACATTTGCCACTAGATTCGTCAATACGACCGATTGCGCTGCCAGCTAGGAGAGTTCCGTTTGCTGTACGTGACAAACTTGCCACCGAAGTAAGTAACTTGACGCAATTAGGCGTAATCGCTAAGGTCGACGATTGTTACGAAAAAGAACGGTGAATTGCGTCTGTGCATAGATCCTAAGCCGTTGAATGAAGCTTTGCGTAGAGAACAATATACACCATCGACGTCAGAAGATGTCCTGTCGCGTTTGGCTAAGGCGAAGTACATCAAGGTTGATTCCTCACCGGCGTTTTGGCACGTCGTGCTAGATGAGGAATCCAGTATCCTGACGACGTTCGCCACACCCTTCGGACGTTTTCGCTGCCTACGTTTACCGTCTAGTTTGAAGGTTCCGAGTGAAATTTGTCAAAAGCGGTTACTGCAAACTGTTGATGATCAAGTCGGTGAACTGATTTACGGCTCAACCGAAAAGGAACATGATGCCAATCTGCACTACATTTTGCAGCGATGCGTGTAAAAAAAGCATAAAGAGAAAACGCGAGAATGTTTAGCTCCGGAAACCGAAGTTATTTTTCACGGGCACTTTCTGACATCCGAGTGAATAAAGATCGATCCCGGAAAAATCAAGATAGTGCACGAGATGCTACAACCTAAGGATGTCAAAACTGTTAGTCGTTTAAATACCATGGTGAATTAGTTGAGCCATTGACTGACAAGGCTTGCTGACGTCCATCCGGAAACTGACTCAAAAAGTTGTAGTGGAGTTGGGGAGATGAGTAGGAGGCAGCCTTTACAACCAGTAAGAGTCTTATTATCAGTGCAATATTGCTTAGTTAGTTTGTTCCAACTCTACCTTTGGAGCTGCATTGTGACAGCAGCGAAAGCGATATAGGTGCCGTTTTTCTGCAGGATGATTAGTCCTTCGACTTCTGCATTCGGGCACTCACAGTAACGGAACAGTTTTATGCGCAGATCATAAAGATGCTTGCCGTCGGATACGAAATGCAGCGATTCAAAGAGTACACAAATGAAGGGAACACTACAATGTAAACAGATC